CCTTCCCAGCACCACAGACACGTTACACACCCCGCGCCTGCCGTGGCCCCGCCAGCACCGGGCCTGGCTCCCCAGCCCCAGATAAGCTTATCTGGAGATGCACAATGGAGCCAGCGCCCACAGGGTGGGCACCTGTGGCTCAACTGAAACACACACAGCTCAGGGACAGGGCACACCCCACCCTGAGGACAGACAGCAAAGAAAAGGACCTGCTCAACAGCTGAACCAGGGGCTTTGGCAGGGGGTTGGAAGGGGGGCAAGAGGGCAGGCCTAGGGTACCCCTGGAGGGACCCGTGCCACCCAGTACCTTCCCCCGGGGCTGGTGAACTTGGGTGGGAGCAGACTTCTTGCACTAGCCCCCTGTGTCTCCCCCAGCTTCAGCCAGCCATGCCCGGGCATGACCTACCCCCAAGGGACCAGCGCTGCATCCACCACCGCAGCGGCACTGCTGGCAGCCCGCTCCCCATCGGTGCAAACACCAGGCACTGCCTCTGCCTGCTCCCCCCCGGTACCACGGGGCAATGATGGCCCTAACTTCTAGTAATATATTCCTACAAAGCTTTGGGGTTCCCTTTTCCACTCCAGCTCTGGGCTGCCGGGGAAGCCACCACCCCGTGAGCCTGCCTGGATCTGGTGCCCAGAGCAGGTGCCCGTGCCCCCAAGGACCAAGCTGCAAGGTGGAGAGTCCAAGAAGGGACCCGCTCAGAAAGGAGCTGCCTAAATTAGGCAGGGATGGAGCAGCTGAGGCTACCGTTCTGTTCAAGGGACAACCCCATCCCCGTGCTGGGTCTTACCCCCTGGCGTGGTGGAATAGACGGTGCCACCCGGCGTGGAGCTGTAGCCCTCTGGGACGGGGAGCTGGTGGCTCCCTGGGATGGGGCAGGAGGAGGTGGCAGTGCCGGTTGCAGCCATGGAGCCCATACGGGTAAGGCGGGGGGCAGGCACGTTAGCCCCCCTCCCCCCCCCCGCCCCTGCAACTCACCCAAGAGCAAAACACCTACTGCACACCACCACCATGTGTTTTCAATACAATTGTCATTAACACAAGCGTTTCTCCTTTGGTGTTTGCACTATGGGGGGGGGGCAGCGGCAGTTCAATGTTTTTTGCATTTCTTCCTCAAATACTAGGAGAAATATTGTCCGGCAGCATTTCTGAGGTTTATCTGCCTGCGGTACTCAAATACTGCTTGTGCACTTTGAGTTTTCGGTACTCCTTCCTCATGCTTTTCCTGGGGAAACTGCTGCTGCATGTAAGGATTTGCCTGGAGAAGGTGGAGGAAGGTGGAGAAGTCTGCATCTGGTCTGAGACACCACCGAAAGCGGTCCGTTAGATTGGGCACTACGTGCACTGTAGTTACCTGCTTGAGGAATGGACCAAACATTCAGTGTAGTTACTGCATCGCCGCTGAGCAAAAGCAGAAATAAGCATAGTCCAAGTGCAGAAAGTGGAGAACTTCTGCACCTGGGTAGAGAATGAACGTTCATCTTAAGCAGCATGCAAAAATCCCCTTCTTCCTCACGGGAAGGACTTGAGGAGCTCTTACCAGATTTAAAGGGTTACAAGAAGCTTAGAATTGAATACATTGTGTTTTTCTCTAGTGGGAAGTGGTCTCGGCTTTCCTAAGATCTGTTTCCAGGCAGCTGGTCACAGCGAGTCAGGTGAAGAAACTCTGCATTTACCTACGAGCTACCTATTTAACTTCTGCAAATTAAGATGCCATCAGTTGCCACACTGTCAACTCAGCCCTTATTTCCAGCCCTGGAACAAAACCCGATCTCTCAGGCAACCCACCTGGAAAAAGAGTGCTAGAAGCAGCAGAACTAATCCAGAAGAAGAAGAAAAAAAAATGCACAACCATGTTCACACAAAAAAAATAAAAGGCTAACAACTGGCAGGGGGAAGGACTCAGCAGACCTCGTATCGCAGATGACTGCGGATCAAAACCCTCCCCCAAGCCCTGACTGCATCCACATGCTAATTACGTGACCCTGAAAAGATGCATCACTGGGCACGGCAGCAGCTACCGATGACAACAACATATAGCCTCTTCCAAAATTCTCACACACAACCTATAAATACTGTTCGCCTTTTATTGAATATTCAGGTAAATATTTCACATTAATACAGGCTACATAAAGTAGAGCCACTATACGACATGAAATTTACTCAGCTTTTCCTTTTAAGTATGTAAACAATTATACATGTATTTACCACCCTAAAAGGTTGAAATCATGTAATCGGCTAGTTCTCTGCTGCATACAAGGAGCATTCAGTAGTGTTTAGCCAAAAGCACTAGTTTCGTCTGATTTTTAAGTTCAAAAAGGCTAAACTAACTGGAGAACAGAATCGGTTTGTATAGGTAAATCAATTTGTTCTTATACAATGGGCAATCAAGTTTCCATTGTTACAGCCCACAGAAATTTTCTTAGTTAGGCACATTAAAAAATCCCCAAGGTTCTTCAAGATCATAAAGATTCCCAAACAAGGCTATAAAAGGATAGACCCCCTTAAATCAGTTGACGTACTTGAGATGCATGTTTCCAATGTGAGGTGCCCAGGTGCCAGGCCAAATCTACAGCAAGAAATAAAAAGACAAGTCTATTATGAAAACAAATAAAGGTTCCTTTAACAGAGCGTTTAACCACTAGAGGGCAAGCTTAAGGCTTCCCCCTAACATACAACCAGACTGCCCAAAGGCTGGGAGCCCTCTTCAGCTCTGGCCAAGGTTTGACTGACAACCTGCAAGATGCCGAGACCCTCTCACTTATGACAAAGTCCATACCTGGCTGAGCAGTCTTGAAATGCTGCTTATTTTACCCAAAAGGTTTGGTACGGATAGCGCCATATATTTTTTATAAACACACACACAGAGGGGAAAGAAAAGTCATGCAAACGATCTCGATTCTAGTATCAAAGAACTGGAAAAAAAAAAAGTCACCTATCCAAAAGTGAAGAACAACAAAACAAAGCACAACACCATAAAAAGCCCCAGGTAAGCGAAGGTGGAAAAAGGCAGCCACACTACCTGCTGAGCATCAGTACATTCTGTAGAGTTCTGGACAACTTTGATCATGGGATTCCAGGCGGGATCTGGAGTATGGAGCCCGTTAAAGAGGGGGCCTCCCGGGCCATCCGCTAGCTGAGGGTGCGAGGGTATTAGAGTGCCACCGTACATGGAAATCGGTAGGCCCTGAGGGAACAAGAGAAAGCACCGTCGGTGAAGAAGGTGGTGGTTGTGAAGGATGACTGTAGTACCACGGTTGCCAAGATGACAAAGGCAGTTCACATCCATACGTAACGTTCACCTACTGGCAAATATCTCAGCACTGTGAGGAACTGGAGCATTGCTGCACACCTAGGCAGAGTATGGAATACGGTGACTCTTCAGGGCTTGAGATTCAAGTTCAGTTTACCCATTTTTCTGAAATTACGCCTTGCCCGTATGAAGCAGCCTCTGCACAGCGCTTTCAGATGACCCCATAAAGCCAGACAGCAGCTGTACAAAGTGACCTCAGTGCTCCCTCCCCTCACCTCTGCAGCACACGATAACCTTGGTGCACGCAGGGCTGCAGCCAGGGGCTGCACTCCAGCAAAGCCCATATACAGCTCGAGCCTACAAAACTCTGAGTTGAAGATTTTCTACAAATTACTAATGGCCATCTAAAATACTCTTCCAGATCAGAAAAAGAGCAGCTTTCTGCAATTATGACATTTCTTTCCCGTGTCTGAATGATTGCTGCTCTGCAATTTAGAAGATCCCAAGAGCACATGCTACAGCTACTTCTGAAACATGCTGTGAGCAGGTCTGCTGTTGAGCACATCATCCTGGACATTCCTCCAGTGGTGGCTGAGCTGACCATGGCTTGGCTACATCCGTCTGCCCCAAGCTACTTTCCAGAGTCAACATACAAGGCACAGACTTACAAGCAGTCCTCTCATCCTGCCGCTTCCGTAAGAAAGGCACGTAGTATTCATGATTTGTACTGAAAGCATTAAGCACACCTTTCATCAGCCTCAAGAGCTGAGCAAGCCTTATGAAAAATTTCCGAGCCACTGAGCCTCTGAGAAAGGAAACATTGGAGAGCAACGGAGGCGTTCAGCTACTTGACAAGAGAACATCTGCAATCTACAAATTCTGGTTTTGTTTAAATGCACCACCAGGCTTGTGCACCTTTTCTAGTCAGTACTGGGATGAAAGGAGGTTCAGGAGTAGGTGCAGCAAGCAATGGCAGAAGAGGCGCACACATGCAGTGTAAACAGGCAGAACAGGAAATACAACAAAGTCAGTCCTTGGTCATTTTATAGACTAAATCCAACCCTCTGTAACTTACTTTAGAAAAATCCACAAAACTATTTGGCATAGGTTGGTGGAAAATATTCGAGGGAGCCACTATTCCAGAATCATCTCTCTCCATTGGCTGATGCTGAGAAAACGTGCCCGGGTCCGACAGCTGCTGATGCATCGGATGATTTCCCATGACAGGCTGAGACCAACCTGACAAGCCTTCTGGAAAGGAGATTGAAAATGGCTGATTACAATTCATTGAAAATACTCTGGAGTAGAATTCAGCAGCTGCACACGCCTACATACATCCAAAGGCTCCCCAAAAACACACAGCTGCAGAGGTGTCTCAGGGCTCTGCTCTGAGCAAAGGCAGACCTTCCACAGCCCACGCAAAGCAGGAAGATACCTGCAGTTTTTAGGCTACTAACCCGTTATAGACAATGCAAACACACAAATCTTATCCATAGCATCAAGGCCTCTCACAGGGAAGCTGTAGCAGGCAACACTGTATAAGGCTGGCACACACACTTTCTTTCTCTCCAGCTCCCACATCCTCTCATGCACCGTAGGAACACAGAAAAAAGTTACACTTATGACAGGGGCA